GCCAAATGCCTGTTATTTATCTTGCTTTGTGGAGCTGCTGGAAGGATTTAACAACCACACAGATATCACGCCTAAGCCAGGAGCTCAATCAGGGACCACCTGAGCTGAGCTAAGGGCTGGGACCAAACTCATGCCCAAACGTTCCTAGGCCTATGAATATCTAGTGGCCTCATCAGGATGGACCCATAAGCTGGAGCTGGCAGGAAGAAAATGGGAGCTTCAGGTACAGGGGTATTACAGAACTTGGTCAGTTGTTGAGGACATGTAGAGTGGGATTTGACCAATGGGGGAAAATGGTCAAAAATGAATGTGAGCCTGCTGGCCTACATCATAGTAGGTTTTGGCAGGGTAACAAGCCCAGCTGAGTGGCCCCAGTCAAGAGGGACCAGGGTTCACTCTGGACAGAGAGACCCCCTTCCCTACCACCTTTAAGTCCTTGACAGAAGGGGCCAAACATTCCAGGGAAGGTTGGAGGTTTTCCTCCATGCAGTAGACGTAGGAGCAACCCCAAGATCTGAATGCCCAGCTTCAAAAGGGAAGTTGACCCAAGACCAGACCTGCAGCTGGTGGAAGAGGCCACCTGGGCACGTTTGTATAGGCAGAGTTGCCACTCCTACTAGACAGAGAATAAGAAGAGAATCAGAAACCCTGTGCTGTTTGGAAGAGAAGGAGTTAAAGGACACTGAAGTCTCCCAGGGCAAGCCAAAGGAGCAGAGGGAGCAAGAGGCCTGACTTGGAGAAGCAGGAAGACAGAGTGATGGGCACCTGGCTTGACTCCTGGAGTAAATGATTCCCCTGGCTCAGGCTCTTTCCTAAGCCTGATGCAGAGATAGTAGGCAGGGAATGAGGGGTGGATGGATGGTGGATGGACTGGGCTTGGAGGGATGGAGGGGCTGGAGGTACTGCTGGCTTCTCCCTTAGGCCCTGCCCTTTAGCTTCCCAATAAGAATGTGTCCTTTACAACAAGTAGTCATGGGCTTACACTCAAGTTCAGAACCAGCACCTGTACAGACACACTCTTTTAAGACTCTTCTAGTCCAGAGCCCCAACCCCTTTGGGATGGAAGGCACCCTGGTGGGAGTATGGGGACTGATATCCATCTTTCCAAGACAGGGGAAAGGAAGACCCAGGCCTAGCACAGGGATCCCACTGGGCCTGGAACAAGTCTCCTAAGAAATCCTGCTGTCTTTGGACCTACAGAGCCCCCAGGCTATCAGAACTTAGGAGGCAGCAGCCTTTCACCCTTAAGAGTAGAGCCAGCTTTGTCTCCAGCTCAGCCTCCCTGTAAGCTGGGACTAGGGTCTGTAGACATCTGGTGGCTTCTGGTGTAGGTGGAAGTAAGTTCCTGGGGGACAGCCCTGATCAGACAGTAGCAGGGTAGTCTTGGAGCCCAGAAGACTATTGCATTACCAGGTCTCCAGGAAGGAGGCTGCTGGCTACAGAACGCTTCCCTGGAATTGCCCTCCGAACATATTCTCCTCTGCCTTCTAGGGCTGCCCTGGCAGATGATGTGATAGAGTTGGGGAAAGCTTTCCCCTCAACCCCCAAGGTAGGCCTGGCTCATTGCTCTTCATGGATGCAGCCACCTGTCCCAGTCCCTGACTGTGGGGCCTTTCATACCCTCCACTTCCATGGTCCTCAGGCCATCTTTAGCAATAAAGAGGCTCTCTGCCTTGTCTCCCTTCCCCCCACCTGCAACTCCTCTGGCTGTTACATCAGCTTCAGCAACTTAGAATTACAGCCCCTGGCTTCAAGCCACAGGTTGAGAAGAAAGGATAGAGGAGGTTGACAGTCCCAGGGAACTGACAACTAATCACAGCCTAGGAACTACTGTCCCTTCCAGACGCTTGCAAACCACTTGTTCTAGTCTTGTGCGTTTATTGAGCGACTACTATGCCTGGAGGGGATCCAACCCGGCGCAGAAAGCAGATGGCTCCCTGGAGAGGACTTAGCACGCTGTGCCTCCCCCCAATAGGAGAGTGGTCACGCCAAGCCGAGTATACGTTCTGCCGCCCCGCACCCTGTGTGTCAGGTTCTGGCCCTATGCGCCCAGGCTCCAGCCCGCCCCGCTCTCAACAAGGCCTGCTCTGCCGTTGCGACCAGCTCTGCGCGCCAAGCGAAACGCTGAGAAGCAGCACTGACTGGATGGAGGGAGACTGGACAGGGAGCGGGGAGGGAAATGACCAGTAGCCCCCTCCGCTCAGGCTTTCTAAGGGTCCAGAAAGACAGGGTCTGGGGAAGGGGTTTCCGCGACCTGGAGGGAGGAGACAACCGGTTCGTTTTGACCTTGGTGGGGGGCGGGTGGGCTCAAGGCATCCACGGCTCCCTCCCGCTCCCGATGCCCAGCCCGCTGCCGCCGCCGAGCATGCCAGCATAGGAAGGTGACGATCAGGAGCCCGAGGCCCACGCCGAGAGCAGCCAGCGACGCGCCCTGGGCCAGGTCCAGGCGGGGTCCGCGCAGCGAGAAGGTGATGGTTGTAGCGGCTGCACCGGCCAGCACCGCTACCGCGCCAAAGGGCAGGACGCAACGGGGCCACGAGACCCCCGCGCCGCCAGTGGCCAAGAGTAGCGCGCGCAGGGCCCCGGGCATCTCCGGATGTGCAAGGCCCAGGGGGGTGGGATCCGGCTCAGGCGCGCTCATGTCGCCGACGCTGTGGTCACACCGGTGGGTAGTACCGGCACTCCTCGGAGGGTGGCTCCTGTCCCGGCCCGCCATGTCAGAGCCGATTGGGCCGGGATGCGGTGACGCCACCAGGGAATCCGGTGAGTTCTGCCTCCTCCTGGCTTTAGCGGGGGAATGGAGTGGGCAGGAGTGAATCCAGAGGGGGTGCCTCTTACTTGCTGAGTATCCTTTGTGTTGAGGCTTACTCAAACACCCCTCCCCCTAATGATCCAAAACCACCAGTGCCTAGGATTGGCCCCAGGACAGGTGGCTCATTGAATCCAGGTTCACTGGGCTACCGACAGAGCCTGGTTAGGTGTACAGTGGATAGTCCCCCTGCCTTCCTCTGGTTGGAAAGACAGATAACAAACCAAGTGAACCAGCAGAAGCCTGTAATCCCAGTGAAGAGGCAGGCTGAGGTGTGGGGGTTACAAATTGTAGCTAGCCTCAGAAATTTAGGGAGAAACTGTCTCAAAAACTTAAAAAAAGCTCAGTGGTCAAGCACTCCTGGATTCAATCCCCAGCACTTAAAAAAAAAAAAAAAAAAAACCAAGACAATTAAGTGAACCCATCGATTAAATAATTCTGGGTAGACTACCCATTATGGAAACTGATGTTGGAGTGGACAGCAGCTGTGGTGGTGGGTTCATCCTGGGGATTGAGGGGTGCTCCAGGTCAGAAACTGGACATAAGCTCTGCAGGCTGCAACAGAAGGGATAGGCTGGCTAAAGGGGGGTGGTAAGATACAGGTGCTCCCTGGGCCTGAGCACCAGCTTACAGGGGGCAAGCAGTCCCTCAGGCTCTCCTCCTTTCTTGGCTCACTCTCCCCTGGGGTTCTGTCCCTGGAGGGACCCCTCAATGCAATAAAGCTCTTGGTTTCTCATTTTCTACTTTGGTCTCTTGCCTATCAGAGCATGTTTCTGGCCCACTGGGTCTGTTACAAGTAAGGCCTTTTGCAGGAGTTCAAGGAGCCACCGGAAGCTGTCACCATGGTATTGTAGGTCCAGCCTCATCCCTGCACACTTCATCCCGCTCGCCACAGTCCTAGTTTTCACCAGGTGTCATGTGCCTCCTCTCCTGCTGCATGTAGGGGCCTGGGTCTCTTGGGGAAGAGGCTGGTATTTTCCTGTTGCAGGGCCTCATCCTTGGCCCAGAGTGGTGAAGCTCCAGGGCTGTCTACACCAGGGGCCTAGGCCTGAGTTCCAAGGGACATGGTCAGGGCTCAGTGAAGGTCCACCTATGTACACTGGCCCTGGGTGACCAGCACAGCGTCTGCCCAGTACTGCAGACAAGCTCAGCTCGCTGATCTTCATGCCAGTCCACGGGGCAGTGGAATGACCACTACCCACTAGGAAAGCAGGAACAACCTGGGGAGTTGAGGCTCAGAGTCTAAGAATCAGGCTAAACATTCCACAGCCTTAGACCCAAGTCTGTGACTGCAGAGGCTTCCCCTCTGACCCCTACCCTTTACTCCCTTCCTGGGGAGGTGATGATTCCTTCCACAGGGGATGGAGAAGCCTCAGAGGACATGACAGTTGAGGGAGGGAGTGAAAAAGGTCCTCTTCCCTGATGAAGCCTAAGTGAAAGACAGGAGATCCCATACCTAATACAGCATTGGCACCAGGAGGTGCTTGGCACGGGGCATCATAAGACAGTGGGGATGGAGCTGGGGTGGCAATGGGCAGAGTGGCTGGCCTGTTCTATAATGGTAGCTGAAGGTTTTTTTGTATCTTCCAATAAGTTGAGGGGGCAGGCACGTTCAGGCATGCTGGGGCAAAAACACCTTGAGTGGTCCTGCCCCTTCCCTTATACAGAAGGAATATATGCATTCTTGATATAAATTCACTTGATAAATTATTTTTCTTTTTTTTTTTTGTGGGGGGGGTACTGGGGCTGGAACCCAGGGGTGCTTTACTCCTGAGCTACATCCCAGTCCTTCTGTTTTTGAGATAGGGTCTCACTAAGTTGCCAAGGCTGGCCTCATATTTGTGATCTTCCTGCCTCTGTCTCCCAAGGCCATGGGATTACATGTGTGCACCACCTTGCCCAGCTTCACTTGATACTACATTCTTTTTTCTTTTTTTGGTACAAGGGATTGAACCCAGGAGCACTTAACCACTGAGCCACATCCCCAACTCTTATTTTTTATTTTGAGACAGGGTCTCACTAAGTTGCTTAGGGCCTTGCTAAATTGCTGTGGCTGGCTTCGAACTTGTGATTCTCCTGCCTCAGCCTCTCCAGCCGCTGGGGTTGTAAATGTGCTCCATCACACCTGGGTTTGATAACATTCATATTAATAAAACCACAAACAAACAAACAAAAACAAAAGACACCCCCAGTAAGTCTCGCCTTGTATTAAGTATATGAACTTCCTAAAGTAGGTTTAATATCACATAGGAGATGCTTAGAGCTACAGCAAGAGAAAAGAGCTAGCTAAGAAAGGCTCTACCAGGCCCCTGGCAACATCTGATTTCCTGACAAGGCATAGGTATCTCTGGTCCCCCAGATCCACCAAACCAGGAAAATTATCTTCAATCCCTGTTCATTTCACCCCTTCAGGAGAAGGAGACTCCCTAAGAGGCCTGCCTGCTCAAGGGTCCTGAGGCCTTGGGGGGCTCCAGATGGCCCAGCGATTGAGTCAGTAAGCAGGGTCATCTTGCAGGATGGTGAGGAAGCACTCGCCTCCCTCGCAGAGCAGGCTATGTACAGCTCGGCACATCGCCAGCCAAGATGGCCCTTGTGGCTCCTGAGTGTTCACCAGGGGAAGGAGCTCAGCCATTAGGACCTGGGGGCAGTGCAAGGCCAAGGTCTCAGTGGGGCCTGCCCCAGCTGGCAGCCCCAGGACAGGCTTCAGCATTCTAGCCTCTCTCCCTGTGCAGCTCATCCGGCACATCAATGTACCTGGTGGTCTACACATGGGCCTGAGGCTTACCCCCACCCCACCCCACCCCTGTCCTCCAAGGGGATCTTGGAAAAGGAACATCATATCCTAATCCCAGGCCTCCGTTCTTATAAACTGAGCCTTCAGGTGGCTCCAGAGTCAGCCCTCCATATGGTAACTGGCTCCACGGGTGCCCAATTGCACACTGCCAACTCATGCTCTGAAAGTACCTTTTCCAGGTGAACCTGCTGCTCCAGCATGGCCACCCGCAGCTTCAAGGTTGCCAGGGTCTGCAGCTCCTGGGTACTGGAGTAAAGGAGGAGCTGGGGGCTCCAGGCAGGGTCTACTCCACCTCCACAGGGTGATGAAGCCTGGGGGAGCCTCTCCACAAGACATGGTACTGGCAGCTGTTCCCTCACAGCTGCGAGGACAGGAGATATGTGGTCTCTTGGTATGGCACCCATGCCCAAGGGCCAGGGTTCATTCATGGGTCAGTACCTGACTCCCCAGGCACTTCCCTTGCCTTTAAGGAGTGCAAAACAACAGTGTGTGGCAGAGCATGGGGGTGGCCTGGGATTCACAGCAGCCAGAGACCTTCGTGAAGTCTCCTTTTGCCTCTGGGTTTTCCTTACTGGTGTTTACATAACTTTCTTGAGACTGACTTTGTATTTGAAGATAGAACCTTCCCTCTTAAAAATTTCAATCAATTAAAAAAATGTAAAGGATAAAGAAGCCCCATGACTCACCTCCCAGTATCTAATTCTCAAATGCTGCTTTCTCAGTAACTAAGTAAATGAGCAAACTGCTTAGGCTGATAGGTTGTTGGTGGAGAGGAGTAGGATAGAGGACCTGTTCTGAGCAGTTGAGGACAGCTGGCTGGTCCCACAGGACAACTGGTAAGAACCCAGAACACTGTGTGTGGGTGGAAAGGGCCTACCTGTCTCTGGTGCCAGGACTGGTCATCCTTCCTTAAGGCATGGGCAAGATGGGCTAATGTGCCCCGACCCTGGTTAAGACCTCAGCACAGGTGGCAGCAGGGGGCAGGGTCTCACCTGTACGCAGCACCTGCAGCCTCTGAAGATACTGCCCAACGATGGCTTGCAGCCCCTCCAGAGTGAGCAGACAGCGGTACTCCTGCATCCAGTCAGCAGGGGCTACTCAACAGTCAGGGAGGGCAGGGTTGGTCCATGCCAGTTCTGAGACCCTTCCTGTGACTGCCCTCCACACCCCCTCCACAACCCCACTGACCTGAGGAGAGCTCCTCCTGCAGGCGTAGTCTCACCATCACACAGGCCTTCCGCAAGCGCTGAGCCTCCAGCTCTATTTCCACAGCACTGAGCCTGGGGCCAGGCCAGCCTGACTGACTATGGGTCAGGGAAACTCCCCTGAGTCCAGGCCCCACCCATGTCCTGCCAGGTTAGAGTCAGAAGCACCCCCCTCACCTCCACTCCTGCAAGTCCAGTAAGCACCCCCACTCCCAACTCCTGCAAGTTCAGCAAGGATACAGTTGCCTGCAGTTTCTGCAGAAACTGGGCTTTGGCAGTGCTGGTGGCATCTGTGGAGTTGCTGGTTTGTGTAGAGTTGAGCTGGGCCCATAGGCTGAGATGTGCATAAGAGCACCCAGGAACCAGAGAAGGATGCCATTATTCCAGCCAGCTGGGCTGAACCGCCCAGGGAGGGGCCAGAGGCTGGGTGTCTATTTCTGCTGAAAATCAGCAGGAGTCTCTGGGGGAACCTAGAGGACACTGACCAGGACAAGGAAAGAGCTGACCCACTCTAGGAAGTGCTAAAGAGAATTCAAGGAAGGAGAGAGAAACCAGCAGTGACTGGTAACTATAACTGAAAAGAGACCTAGGTGCTTGCTCTGTACTAATTACAGCACAAACATCTGAAAGGCACCATTTGCTTAACCCTCCCAGCATCTCTGTGAGTTTGGGTCTGGTCACTGTTGCCTCTAGCTCTAAACTTGGCGGAGGGAAGACAGACTGAGACTTGGAGACACCAAGTGTCAAGTTCAAGCCTTGCAGCTGTGAGTGGCTGAGCTGAGGGTATCAAGGCCACTGAAGCAGTGCTAGCTAGTCAGGCTCTGAAGATGGACAGTGCCACCCAGTTACAAAAGCAGAGGGACCTACTGGAATGTCTTGCCTACATATTCCCAAGCTTTCGATGTTTTCTGTCCCCATCCAGCCTTACCGGGAGTTCTGGGAAACCACCTTCCTAAAGTTCGCAGGCAGCTGCAGCAGGGTCCTGTCAGAGAAGCCAGTGTTCAAAATAGTCTCATCTCACTCTCAGGGCTGCTAGTCCTGCTCAGAGTCTATCAGTGGTGAGATCTCATACCCCTTCTCCCTCTCCAGTCATTATCAGACAAGACCCCCTTGGAAGGGGCTTCCCGAGTGACATGGAAGCCAACCTAGTCCAGTACTACCCTTGCAGAGAGAATAGAGGGCACCATGAACAGAGGGCCTGAGACCTCTAGTGGTTCCCATCTGGGTAGATAAGTGAATAGCCAGGAAGAAGAGGGCAGGTAAGGCTCCAGAATGTAAAACCTGTACAATCCCAGATTGCTGCAAAGCATGAGCCTCATGAGGTGGTACTCCAGGGCTCCCAAATGTAGCTCTGTGCCCTGCCCTACACCAAACCCCAGACTCCTACAGATGGCCAAGGTCTGAGTGAATAAAGATGGCAGATTTTCCAGTGAGGGTCTGGGAAACCTACCCCTTCTCCTTGAGTGTGAAAGTTTCTGCTGCCTGAGGAGCAGCTGATTGGGCCATCTGTTCATGTCTGAGGCCTGGTCCACAGCTAGTGGCCCTGGCTTCTATTGCCACATGGGAATTATCTCCCATTGACAGAAGCCTACGTTCAGGGTGGTCCTTGGCAGGCTTCCTAGGCTGGTGGATGCCCTTGGTAGCTTTTGCTCCAGAGGCACGGCTGCCAGCCCCACTCAAGGCCTGGGGTGGTGCTGATGCAGTGGTGTCAGGAGAGGCAGAAATCGGTCCAGATTTCAGGCGCAGAGTTCTGTCTTTTTCTCCAGCCTTAGAGATGCCTTTCCGCACCCGTACTGCCTTCTCCAGTGCCTGGGTTAAAAGCTCCAGCTCTTTGAGGTCCTGGGTGCTTGGTGTGTATGCTGTGAAAGCCAAAAATCATGCAGAAGTCCTCTCCACTATTCCAGGATGGGTCCCTCATCACTGCATGCCAGAGCTGGGCCAGTGGCTGCACGGGGAAAGGGTGGGTGGCCGAGATTTACCTGAAGTCAGGTCCTCTTCCTTATTTTCTGGCCTTGGAGGTGACTCCGGAGCCTGAGACCTGGCTGGTTCCCTGTAAAGACAGGGTATCTGTGGCCCGAACAAACTCCACCCCCGCCCCTCCTCCGCCTCAGAACCTGCAGGGTAAACTGGGTGGCACTGACAACCGAAACCTCGGAAGTGGGAGGCTGGGCCCGACCTCTCAGCCTCTGAGATTCTGCATGATTCCGAAGGGCTCCCGGGGTCCACGTACCAGGCCCGCAGCAGCCTTCGGGAGATGCTCAGGCTCCGATCTAGCTGCCGCTGTCGCTCTGCGCAGGCGTCAAGGGCACCCTGCAGCTCGGCCACAAGCCTGGAGGGACGCACGGTCAACTCAGCACCCCGACAGGCTTGGTGCCCCGCACCAGCCCGCCCCGCTCCCGCCTCGCCAGACCCACCGGCGCGCGCAGTCGGCCGGCAGCATGGACTCCAGCTTGGATTTCCAGCGTTTTGCCGCCGCCTCCTGGCTCCGCCCCTTCCACGTAAAGATCCGCCCCTTCCTGCCGGCTACCCAATCCTGAGCCTAGGACTCAGACCCGCCTCAAGTTCCGCCCCAAAACGCAGGTTCCGCTTCCAGAGGTCTGCTTGGGACTCCGCTCCTGCTGGGCTCTGGGCTCCGGCCGATCCGACTCCAGAAGTATCTTCTGGGCAGATGGAGGCGCTATTTTCGTGTTCTTCTTGCAGGGAACCATAGTTTAACGGTTGGCTTTATATCTCTTTTTTTTTGGTACCAGGAATTTAACCCAGGGGTGCTTTACCTCTGAACTACATCCTCAATCATGTTGCTTAGGGCCTCGCTAAATTACTAAGGCTGGCCTTCAACTTGGAATCCTCAGTGGGATTACAGACATGCCCCACCGCGCCAGGATTGTTGACTTTGTCTCAAACAGCCCTCATTGAAGGCAACTCTAAAGCAGGCACGAACTGTCTTGCTGACCCCAGGACCATCTACCACAGGGTCAGGAACATGGACTAGGTGAGAATGACTTGTTAAGATCAAGGAAGGGACAGAGGAAGTGTTCATTTTTGGACATAGGGATGAAGTGATGACATCCTGGGAGGTATCAGATAGAAATCTGGATATAGGGAATGAAGCACAGGAGATCTGGATCATGGCACACTTGGGCCTGGCAAGATGGCCCAAGGTTGGAGGAAGCGGGTGGCAAGGAGGGTAAGCTTCTCAGAGAATGGCCAGCAGTCAGTGTCCAGGAGGCAGCCATGGGCAGGCGCTTCTGCTAAGTCCTGGGCAGTACTGGTCTTGGGAGTGTTGGACAGGGAGTGGACAAGGCATTCAGTGACCCAGGGAACATTTGGGTCAGTGGGAGGACTGTGGGCACAGATATTGCTGAGGACGAAGTGTGCAGTCAGGGGGCACCAAGGTGACTATCAGGCCCTGGGGGTAGACAGGGAGACCCATACCACAGTCAGGTGGTCCAGGCATTGCCTAGAGTGTTTCTTACAGGTGCAGGCTGGGAGAAGACAGAGAACTGAGTCCATCCAGAGTTGGGATTCTCATCAGAGAGATTATGAAGGGTCAAGGCAGTTCAGGGATGCTTCACTCCTGTGCCACTGTCCCCATCACATTTAATCCTCACAACACCCCTGTGAGGTAGGTTATCATCGTCCCATCTTACAGATGAGGAAACTGAGGCGCACACATGCCCAGGGGCACATGGTGGAAAGGACAGGTTTACAATTCCAACTCCTGGACTTTCCTCAACCCAACCATGCACCACCCAGGGTGGTCAGAATTCTTGTACAGTAGCAAAAAAGACAGCTGCCACAGTGAAAACACACACACACACACACACACACAGAGCAAAGCCACTACCAAGCCAATATCCCCCTTCCCTATACTTTTGGTTCAAGAGCTTTGGGGAAACTGGCCAAGTGGTTCTTACCTTTGAAAGGTAATAAAAGTACTCCAGCAGGGTCAGAGTTAGGATAAGTGATCAGCCTTTGGTGGGCTCACATGCATCCAGGCAAGTGCTCTACCACTGAGCTCCATCCAAGCCCTGTCATTTTCAAAGCAGGAAGCCACATCTCTGGCCAGCTTGGAATCCACAGATCTGCAGTTATCAGCCATGGGCAAGCCCTCTGATATTCTTCCTCTTGATTACCTCAGATATTATGACTCTTTTTCCGGCTAACCTCTCTGGGAAAATTCTGTTTGCACAGTGTGCCAGGATAGCACCAAAGGGCTAGTGTCACTTGTTCTTTTTTTATTTGAGCCTAAATAAAGTTGGGAACATCCTCTCCAGTTCCCACTTTTATTTTTCCTCTATTTTAACTTTTTAAAAAATTTTCATTTTAAAGAAATATAGAAATAAAAACAGGAAAAGAATGGCCCGTAAATTCAGTGCAAAGAGAGATATTCATATAGACACCATGAGACACAGACCACTCTGGGAGAAGGGACATATTTCTAAAATAAGTTCAAAGTGCTGGAGGGAGGGAGCCTGTGGCCCCAGCTTCAGGGCCCCCATACCCGGTGGTCACACTGAAATCCACATCTATATACAGGGTCATAGGTTGCCTTACCATGGGACGTATCACCCAGAAGGGAGTGGATATCCCAGCCTGGCTGAGGTGGGTGAGGGGACAGTGGTGTGTTCAGAGCTGCGAGCTGTGCCAGGATACCTGGGTCACATGAATTTGGAGCTTGAAAGCTACTGTTTCTGGGCATGGGGCTCAGTGGGCCAATGCTGGGAAGAGGAAGACACACATGGGCTTAAGCTCTCAGAAGACAGCAGGAAACATGAGGGTACAAGGACAGGTCTCACATGGTGTGGCATGATTGTTTTAAGGCTATATTTCCAGAGAGGAGCTGAGTGAAACTCGGTGCCCAGGAGTTACCCCTGTTCTCTGTGTGACACCTACCCAGGGTCTGCATAGCACCTATCCACAATGCTTGCTCCCCCCCTCCCCGTCCCCCCCTCCCCCAGTAAACATTCACTATGGCAAACACACACACACATTCACAGCTTCAGGAAGCCCAAGTTCATGTCCTTGCCACTGTGCATGGATAGGTTTTGCGGCTTCACCTGCTGCTGGGGAGCACTGCTCCCTGGGGGGGTTGGGGGACGACACTGTAAACATGATTTCTTGGCCTGATGGTGGCAAGGCTGTGTATCTGAGTTGCTGCCCAGAGACAGCACTGAGGTAGAAAGGGGAGGGCCCCCTGAGCCACTGTCCACTGAGTTTGTGGGACTCGCGCTGCTCACGGAGGAGTACCCTGAGGTTGTGACGTCCTTGCCAGGACCCCTCCTGCTATGGAGAAGAGGCCTGGGGCCTAGGGCTGGAGGTGTCTGAGTGCCAGGCACCTGGTGTCCCTTGTCCTCCTGGCAGGTCTCCTCATCACTTGATTCCTGGCAGCAGTGCTGTTCTGGGTTCAGGTACACCACGGTGACATCGAGGACACCACTGGGAGCTGTCACTGTGGGAAATGTCGGTGAGGGGGAGAGAGGTCACACCTCAGCCTGAGCATCCGGGGTAACCCAACAGCCCAGGCTTCAGCTCCTTGCCAAGATAGTTTAAAACATTGTGTTCCAGGACAAATGTCCCCTACCTGGCTATAGTTCCTTATATGGCTTAGGTGAGAGCTGAGGGTGACATGCTTCTCTTAAGCTGGGAGGGCAGTGGAAAGTGACAAATTGGCCAACTAATCACTCAGTCCACCAACAGACATAGATGCAATAGAAACCCTTCCAGGCTGGGCTGGGGACAGGACCTTCTGTGGCCTGCTGAGGGGGCTTGCATACACCACATGGACACATCTCAATGTGCAAGAAAGAGCTTACCAGGACTCCAGAGAGGAGTCTATTTGCCCTATTATCTATTTGCCCCTGCCCTAGCAAGGTCCTGGAGCAGCACAGACCCTGCTGGAGCTGGACACAGAACTTGTCTAAATCATCTCCAGGCCTGTGGGCAAGGCCCAACCCCACCCCTGACTCTACTCTCAGGCTTTTCTGTAGTCAGAGATATGGTAGGAGGTGGTGCTGAAGGCCCTCAGTGTGGGTGGCCTCCCGCCTGATGACCCTTTGCACAGCATGGCCACACACTCACCGTCACCCTCCTTCTCTCCTTCACTCTCCTGATCGCCCTCATAACCAGAGCAGCAGTCCAGGCTCCAGTCGAGGAAACTGCCCAGCAGCGTCTCTTCCTGGCTGGACAGCTCTGCAGTAGGGGTGGTGACAAAGCTGCCTCTGTCCTCCTGGAGGCTGTTCTCTCGCTTCCTGCAAAGTGGGAAAAATCCAGAAGGCTCTGGTCACAGGCAGCCCATCTGGAGGTCCCGCCTGGTCCTCAGCCCCTGCCTCAATTACCTGCATGTCTCTGGGCCCTCACCTTATGCTCTGAAAGAGCAGGTGTAAGCCCTGGGGGAAGGATGATTGGACCAAACCGGGCCCAAGTCTGGGTGTGAACCCAGATTCATCCGGGCTGGCTATGGGGACCTGGGCCAACTACTTGGCCCCTCTGGAGACTGGCAGGATGATGCAACCCTCCAGGGTGCTAGTTATATAAGACATGGGTAGTGCCTGGCCTGGCACTGGGCAAAGACAACATGGACAGCCTGTCTTTGGGCAGTGTCAGCATGTTGCCCCCCCTGTGGTCAGAACTGAAAGCTGGAATGTAGGCCTGTCCCTGGGAGATGCTGCCACACTGCTGAGCCTTTCTATTTCCTGACCTTGGGCTGCCTGTGGAGGGTCTCTCCCATTAGACTAAGGGGGCTCCAGGGAGCCTCTGGGAAGCAGGTTTGACACAGTGTGGTTGGGCACATGGCAGGGGCCAGGGACCCCACCCATCAAGGCACAGATGCATGTGTCTGTTGGGCTTTCCCCATGGTGGCCTCATCCCTGGACAGTCAGGGTGCCATCAGCAGAGTAAATTGTAATTGGCAGCCCTCTCAGGAGGACCCAGGTCTCCTGTACTCAGCACAGTAGAAGGTGGTCTGGTGCATTTCAGAGAGGAAGCACCAGGACCAGGGGCTTAGCCTGTTTCTAGATCAACTATTTCCTTAGGGTTCCCCAAAGATTAGGGCTCTATAACCAGGGACCCACTTTCTATAGAACTGTCATGGAGGTGGCCCAACCTGGCCCTGTGTTGTGACAGGGATAACCCAGCTACCCAGTGCCTGCCTTCAGGAAGCTCAGGGGGCACATGGAACAGAGGAGTTATAAAGGTAGGGCTTATCTGGGCTTTGCGGGACCAACAGGAGTTCTTCAGGTGGGCAAGGTAGGGAGGGAAGGTACAGCTACAGCATTAGAAGAGAAACAGGAATATATACAAAGAGGGAGGGGACAAAGGGAGGAAGGCTAGCAATAAGACATAGGGATAACAACATAAAGCAGAGAAGCCCAGGCTGGCACATGACATATAGGCAGGGCCCGGACCCAGGCGGGATCAAGCGTGCTCAGGAACATCTGCCCCCAAGGGAGCCAGGAGAGAGAGGCAGCCAAGCTCAGGAGCAG